AGTGTATGATAAGGAAGAAATATTTAATGTGTCAAGTATGTATAAAGGTCATTGATTGAATATGCAATTACTTATTATTTTTACCCAGAAAAGATTGATTTCTAGGGGTAAAATAATTACTACTTACTGTACAATTTTTTAAAGAATTTACAAAGTAAATAGTATTTTCCGTAAATTAGTTTTCAACATTGGAAAATCATGATTAGTTTTTTCTAACACATATTTCAAATATTGACGATAACTGTGTTCCATTTTCAAATTTTCTTCAATTGTATCTTCATTTTTATACGTCATTTTATAAGTACCACTTTTTACATCATGCAACTGTTTTGCTTTCCTTTGCTTAAGAACTAGAATATGAAGATTCTGAAAAAATCATTTAAATAATTAAATAATTCAGAACTCTTATAAAAAATAAGATACAGTTCAATTCATACATGATATTTCAACATTTCTAGCTGCTCAATTTCATTTTCTATATTTGGAAGGTGCCCCTTTATATTTTGTAAATTTTGTTTACAATTGACCAGCTGACTCTCTGCACTTTTTATTTGATTTTTTATTTGTTCTATTGTATCGCTAGTTCGTTTCACTACCTGTTAATTTCAAAGAAAAATATAATTGTAGCAGTTTTCAATTAATTAGTAAGATAAAAATGATACGTACATTCATTGATTGTTTAATTTTTATCCGTTGATCAGACAGACGTTTGTGCATTATTACTTTCTCATTATGATGCTCTTTTGGATTCTTTTTAAATTTATTAATTGCTTTATTAAATATAACATCTCTTCTTGCTACGCAGAGTTCCATGTCATGGATCAATTTTTCTTGAATTTTTTTTAGGTAAGAAAGTCTCGTTTCCATTTTATGTATTTCACTCTTCATTATTGCTATACCTCCAGCAGTATGTTCTTCTTTTACTTTTTTTACAGTTTCTTGTATGAGTTGTAACTTGAATGTTAACATCATTGTACTACATGTAAATGAGAATTGCGAAAGTATATAATTATAATAACAATTACCTGTTTTTTCCAAGATAAACTTTCTTCTTGTGTAAATTTTAATTCTTCCTTTAGCATTGCCTTTTCAGTACATAAACTTTTTAAATTGCTATGTAATTTTATGAGCTCTAATTCCAATTCTTGAAAAGAAAGAATATATTCATTCTTTTTTATGCAATTTTTGTCTTCTAATTCATCCTTCAAATCTTTTTGTATTACTAAACCTGCATTCATGCGTAATAGTTTTTGCTGAAGAGAAAGTATAATTTTATTTATACATGCTTCATCTTTCATAATCATGTCCAATGTATACTCCAATTTAAAATTTTTTTGTCCCGTTATCATAATTTCTTTGTCAAGAAGATTTAATTCTCGTAATTGTGATTCTCGTTGTTGACTTAATGAAACCATGAAACCTTGTTGTCGTATCCAAAATTGTTGTGCTTTTTGGATACTTTGTACAAGTTCTTGAATATTTTTTTCTAAACTAATGATTTTTAAATCTTGTGGACTCAAATTTTCACCAATATTTGGTACTACCTGAAACAGTTTATTCGTAAACCATATTATCTGAAATTAAAAATGCAAAATAAAATATAAAATATAAAATATAAAATATAAAATATAAAGATATGTAACCTGTTCAATAAGTTTATTTGTTTCAAGAAGTTTACGCTGCCTCCTTTCAATTACAATTTCATATTTTCTCATCTCTTTTTGCAATTCATCTATTTGTTTTTCTTTCTCCACATTTTTCTGAGAAATCTCTTGCAATTCTGTTTTTTGATTTTCAAGAAAATTTAACAACTTTTCTAATTCCAGAAGACTATTTCCATATGAATTTTCTGTACGTGCAACTGTAACCTCATACTCTAATACAGCATTTTTTGTATTTAATAATAGTTCATTCACATGTTGTGCTGTTTTGTCGCATATAATTTTCTCTTCTAATTTTTTAAATATCATGTTTTCTAAATTAGTCTTTTTTCCAAAAGTGAATTCTAGTTTTTTATTTACTTGTTCTTCTTCGTATAAAGTGCTTTGATATTTCTGAAAATATACCATTTATTATGATTATAGATAAAGACTATTTTTTCGACACTGAAAGATGTTACGTACAGTGAAAGCATTTTCATAACTACTTTGTATGCGTTCATTAATTTTTGTTAAGTTTTGCAATTGGCATTCAATATCTGCAATTTTTTCATTATGCGATGTTACTGTTTTGGACGTAATTCTAATATTATTTTCTACACGGAATGACAAAGATGTCAAATGTTCATTGATCTCCATCTCCTTTTCCGATTCTTTTTTAACTTTTTGTATTTCCAGTAAGAGAGTATTGTATAACTTATGACTTTCTCTAAGAAATAAACATTATATTAAATATAAAAAAGAAAGAATGTAACGAAATTTAAATTAGAATGACTTTATTATTTATGAAAACGTTTTATAACAAATAATAAACTAAAATATCTTGCAACAGTCACCAACAATTCGCCTTATAACATTGTGTTACACCTGTGGCACAGATTTCAAACAGAACTTAACAATTATAAATTTCATTTAATTCTTTTCAGTTTAAATTACCAAATACAAAGTAATTCTATTGAAATATAAATTTATAAAAAGTTGTACGATTCATTTGTATTTACACTGAAAAACTAAATTTTTATATTTCAGGACCACTGAGAAATATTGATTTTACAGATTGTGATACTTACTCTTGTTGAGAATGTAACTGATCGTGAATATTATTTCTTTTAGAAATGTTAGCTACAACAGACTTCCATATATCATATAAATCTTTACGTTCTGTATGCAAGGTCTCTAAATCTGTATTTACATCTATTATCATTTTATTAACATTTTCTTTTTCTTTGTTTTTAATTTGTAGTTGCTCATCCAAATATGATATTTCTGTTTCAATTTTCCAGATTTCCTCCTTTAATCTATACAAAATAAAATCTCGTTGTTGTTTTTTATTGATTAATGCCTTTCGTCTATTTGCATCTTGCGATGAGATCTGTTTAGATATTCTTAAATAATCGTTCAAATCATTTTCCCACTTAGATAAATAGTTATGAAAACTTAATAAATTTTTCAAGTCCTGAGATAATTTCTCTCTTTTATTTCTTTCATCTTCTAATTTACAACGATTTGTTTTTAAAACCTGTTTAGCGTTTTCTATATTCTGATTTTTCTTTTCTCTTAAAAATGCAATTTTTGACAATGCATCAAAGTAGTGACTTATAGTAGTATGTTGATGTTCAATTTGCTGTTGCATTTGATAAAGATTAACTCCTTCTGATTCCAAGTTTTTTTCAACATGCTTTATTAGCGATTCCTAGAAATGCACAAGTTAGATAAGGAATATTACAATAATTTCATATTAAAGATTGTGACAAGGCTATAATAAATATGAAGTACGTAAGATATTTAATGTTTTACAGCATGTTATATTGCATTCCATATTAAGCGTATAAGCACATAAACGCAATATAAACATATAAATGTATTATTCCATAAATTTGAGGCAATAAACTTTTTACTTACAAATTCAAGTATTTCTTCTGAAAGTTTGTTATTGATATTTGATAAATGTGTATGGAGTGTTTTTTGAAACTTTTCCATTAATTTATCATCTGGATTTAGTACATTTAATGTAGATGTTTCAGACGAATCCATTTTATTATAAAATTTGTAGTTTCAACTTTATAAAATTATTTTAATGTTTCACGACTTTGCATCACAGGTATAATTGTAAGTATGGTGTTGGTTGTCACAACAACATTAAGTTAGAAATGGAAACAGTCTTTTGAGAATCCCCTCCACTGTGCCCATGTGTTTTATACATTTTGATAATTTATTATCATGATCCATCATTGCGAGAAAATAGTTTGAATGCAATTTCATGCTCCTCATTTATTCTGTTATAAATTGTAGTAACTCTTCCTTCTTGCAAATAGCTATTTATTTTTTGGGTTTACAAGAGTAATATACAGATATATATTTACAATTTTATAATTTGCATTCAATAATCTGATTTAACTGATAAGACATTAAATAATTTTAAATGAAATATCTCACTTTGTATTTAAATTTCGTTCCTAATTTTTCGTTATAAATGACGCAAAATTTAGTATTCATGTTTTTTACGCATGCGTATTAAGTGATTTTTGGAATACATTGGGTCGATGGATCATGTGATTTTGTTTACATCATCTTAACTTGACCGATAAAAGTTTTACTAAGTGTCTTATCCTAAACAAAATAACTATCAGAAAGTTTTCTTGTGGAATTTGTTACCAATATTCATTCCACATTAATGTACAACAATCGAAAACAAAGTATGAACATATTTATTAATGATTAAAGAAACTTCATAAGATTTTTAGTATTATATCTTGAAAATAAAAGTTACGAACTAATTCTTTAAATGTACTTATTTACAAATGAGTTTGTAATACCAAATTATATTGACTAATTATTTTTATTTTAAAACAGATGAATAGGTTATTGTATATTGTACGTACAATGAATGTTACTTGTAAACGATACATGAGTTCAGTTAAATTACCTCCTGAACTTGTTGTGCCACTAAATAAAGAACTAATCGTTTGTTGGCATCCAGAGCAAGAATTTCCATATGAATATTCATTACCATTGCCAGAAGAAAAGAAACTTTCAAATTCTGTATTACGCATTGGTGAAAAAGAGATAGCAGATACCTTTTACCACAAACGAAGAGAAGTCATCATTGAAGAACTCTCTAAAATGACATATACCACAAAACATAGATGGTATCCCAGAAGTAGTAAATACAGGAAAAGGAGATTCACAGAACCCGAAAGACCGTATTTATAGAAGTATCTAAATAGCGTATTATGCTAAAATACTTATAAAATTATAGAATCATTAAATAAATAATATTTCCCAAATGACTTATTATACTGTATTTATTTCATTTTATAATATTGCACGAATTTAAATATTGTATTAGCACCGCTAAAATTTCATATGCACATAGATGTATACATATATTGGTCATTTTTTAATATACAGATAAATTCTGATCTCTTTTTTAAAGTGTAGGTATACGTATTTTACAAATTTTGGGGATATATATGTCTCTCTCCTTCAAGTAAAAATATTTGCATTGCTTGGTACAGTAGATATCTTCCAAAATTACATTTTTCTTTTATATTCCACGTTGCTGCTATTCCGTAATAGTCTCCGCTTTTAAGATTCTTCAATTTCTTCAGTCCCAAAGCATCGATCATAGCAGCTTCACGAGTGTAAGCTTCTACAGGAATGACATTTTGAAAAACTTGCAGACAAATAATTCCACATCCTTCATTCCAAATATTCATAATTCGTTGAACTTTTTCATTTTCGCAGTATTTTTGAGAAGAAGTCCACATTTTTAAAGCATCGTTTAGATGGGAATGTGGTCTATTACGTGTACCTTTACCTACATAAAATATAGCAGATAAAAATGTAGTCCAAATTGTAGACTTTGTCATACTTTCTGCATGAAAGGGTAAATCTTTTGTTATACGGGGATCTAAGAGTAAATAATTGAAACTAGTTTTGTTTATTCCGTCTCTCCATTTTCTAGAAGGATCCACATCAGAAAATTCTTTGAAAACAGTTTTTTCAATAATTTTATATCTTCCTAATTGATTTACCCAGTCTCCATATGCTAAAGAAGATTTCACTTCATGGTTATAGTCATTTGTGTTAATATAAGTCTTAAAAGAAATAAATCTGTTGTCTGGTTTTATTAGTTGCGTTCTCTTTTGTAAAGTGATAAATCGCTTTAAATATACTTGTCTTGTTGTATTAGTTACTGGTCCTGGATTGTCACCTAGTTTAATTAATTTTCTTCTTAACTCTTCATTTGTTATACATATATCTGTTGATAAATTGAATGAATTGGGCCCTGAAAATATTGGTAAAATATTATATAACTATAAACTTGCAAATATATAAAAATTAGAAACAGTCGACGAATATAGAGCAGTATACAGTAGATACATGTATACTGATGAAATAAGAGTGAAAATATTTATAAATAAAAAATCGCTAATTTATTCTAACAAAAGCAACGTAGAATCAAATTCTTAATTATGCCATATAAAGTTTTTAAATTTTACTATTTTATTAATACGGTAAACATTTTGATAATAAAATTCAATTGGAAGTATGTTGTTAGTATGTTTTGGATTCATTACGTTTTAACGCGCCAGTTTTAATACGCTTAATAATTTTGAATTTAAGTATAGACAACAATACCATATGGTATTCTTTGTAGCCTGGTCATTGAATAGGATTACCAGAAATTCCAGGTGAAAATAACGTGACATATTTACTTGCAATACGCTTGCACAAAACAGGAGCAGTTTTAAAAATATAAATCGCCATATATGATTTCTGTACTCATACAGAACTACAGAGAAATGTAATGTTATTTGTAATATATCCAGAATCTCATTATTCTAATATTTGTATTCCTGACTTTCGAAATTGTAATGCACTGTCCTCGTCACGACGCCTTTATCGGTATTATTCAAGTTCAGAACTGAAAGTCTATTTTCGAAAATGATTCCTTTCAGCTGAGAACTTAAAAATGGTCCAACAGTAACGACATAGTACAGTCACAAATATAGTAAGATAGTAAACAAAAATAAATTTCAGCTTCAAACAGAATGGGTAACGTAGCATAAGGTAACAAAGAACTAATTTACAGATATAGGCTGTCCAAGAAGTACCTATTATGAATCTGCTAATTTTGACCTTTATGTAACACATCTCTATATTTTTCGACTTTTTCATCAATGTATATATTAAGAATAAATAGATCTATTGAATCTTACATAATTTATCAGACGTGGAAAAATCTTCTTCAGATTTGCTGTAAAAGAATAAAGTTAATGATAATTATTGTCATAAGAAATCCATATTAATCCTGTGATAATTTAATCATTACATCTGTATTATCAAAATGATAAGCACTTTCGATGTGATACTGAGACAATTTTATGATTATTATTATTTTAATATCTTACCAAGGGGGTAGAGTGTAAATTCTACGTTCCACAAAGGCGAGATTTTCTTCTAAACTTTCATATTTATATTCTTCTTGTATGCTAACATAAGACTGTGATTGAAAACTGAAAATAATTACCCTATTAATGCTTAAATAAGTTCTTGCTTTACTTAATTTTAATCATATTAATTTCAAAATAGATTTCGAAGCTAAATAAATACGGTATTAAAAAATAATTGCAATTACCTTGATAAAAATATATTATAATTCTCTTTAAAAGTATTTAAAGTGTCATTGGCTTTTAAGTCTTCTAAGTACTTTTCTTGTAAACCACTGTCTACATTTAAATTTTCTCTCTTTCTTTCCATGTCTTTTGCTTCTTTCATTTTTAGACTTTCCAGGTTGCTACTACATTCGTCTACTAAATTTTTCATTACATTATATTCTCCAATACAATTTTTCTTCTCATTAAAATTTGGACTCACTGGCATATCATCGTCATACTTATTCTCATGTAATTTTACTGCCAGATTTTTAGAAAAATTTTTATTAAATCTATAACATAACTTGGGATAATGATGTTCATCTGGTGATAATGAGTTTGTCGAACTAGGACTTGTGCTTTCTGACGACGTTAATACTTCATTCCTTTTCAATTTTCTGTGCGATGAATACTGTCTATAACAATGTTTTCTTCTTGGAGTGGATCTTGCCATTTCTTTTCCAAAATTAAACTCGTCTGATCGAAATGATCCATTTCTCGTTAAACAAGGTGTGTAAGTTTTAAATTTCGATTCTTTGCTTAATACTTTAGGCGATGAGAATCTTTGATCTTTTTCAATTGTTTTTCCCATTAAAAAATTTGGTGATTTGCTTATAATAGAATCACTTGGATCGTGCAATGGTATTAATGGAATTTTAGTATTACTGTTTCGTCCAAAAATCCTGCGTTTATATCTCGGAGTAACAGACCGCTTTTTTGTTCTAGTTTTCAATGAAAATTTATCTTTTACATCATAAATTGAACTATCATCTGTATTTAATACGGACAATGGACTTGAATCGCACCGACTGTCTTTAACTTGTTTATATTCGCTGTTAATATCTGTCTCTTTAGAGTTAGAATTTAAAGAGCTGGAAAGTTGATTAATTATTTGATTAAGTAAACATTTCTCTCTGTCCATTTCTTCACGAAGTCGGAGTTCTGCGGCATTAATATCATACTCATCGTTGTCATTTAAACTGTTGTCACTAAAATAAAAATACTTGTCCCTGTTATTGGAAAGTCTGTTTTCTTCATTTGTCTGACATTCTTTTACATTTAATATATCTTGATTGATGATATGAGTATCTAATAACGCAACATATTCTGCTATGGTATCTCCATCGTTAACAACAAGTTTATCTGCAAAAAACAAAAATATAAATAAAGCACCTAAGATACTATACATATAAGCGTATCCATTTTTACCAAAAGTTATTTTATATTTAATCGGTTTTTCTTCTTTTGTAACATTTTCGCAGTATTTGCTAAGCACCGCTATTGCTCCATAATATTTCCCATCAAATGCATAATGAAATGGACTACGTCCTTCATAATCCAAACAAAGAGCATCTCCACCATTTGCCAGGAGTAACTCCAGTACTGTAATTCTGCCCCAAGCTGCTGCCACGTGAACTGGAGTCAATCCATCCACAGATCTTTAAAGTGAAATAATTGCCTATTTTATTTCCATATATAATGTATTAATGTGTTGGGTTGATGCATAAGTTTTAACAGGTTTTTTAATAAGAAATAAAAAGAAGAGTATTCAATTGTGCGCTGGTTAAACCAAAACTAAATACCAAAGAAAAAAGAAGTAATATAAGAAACCCATGATGTGTCTCCGTTCAAATTTTTTAATGACAACCTTACGTATAATCCTATCAGTAATCAGTAATGGAATTACTTACTTAACATTTGGATTTCCTCCATGGCGTAAAAACAACTTAGTTACTTCCTCTGCAAATGCTTCTGAATCATTGCCTATTACTAAGTGAAATGGTGTTACTCCGTATGTGGGAATTAATGTATTAGGATTTGCTTCTTTATTTAAAAGTAAAGTTGTTACTTGCCTATTATATGATAAATCAATTAAAACATTGAATCAATATATAATGTTACATATATAATATATTATTAATTCTAATTTGATATTATATTTCATTAATAATGTAAGATACTTACTTGCAATATACAATTATTTAAATAATTAATAGATAAAGTAAACATTTTAGAATAAAAAACAATTACTTACTTTATATCATTATCCTCTAAACCATCGCACAGCGAAGAAGCCAGAAAAAGATATCCTTTTGATTTCAACATAGACATTATATTTAATATTTGTTTAGATACAAACTGTTCTTTTTTTCAATAATATCACTGTATTATTTCATAAATTACATAATATTCACCAGTCACATAATCCTGAAAAAATAAAATTATAAAAAATTATAGTTTTTCCTATGTATCTAATTATATTGAAAATATAAAATTCTTTTTGTTTATTGAATTATCGAAAAGTACATTTTGCGAATGTATACAACGAAAACGCAAATTATATATATTAAAATAACAGCATTTAAGAAATGTACTTATAACGTTCAAGATTTTTAAATAAATAAACGAACGAATATTTCAAAAATGCGAAATGTAAACAATACCAGTTATATACTAGTATGACTATGATTAAATAATTAAAATTATGATAACTTATTACTTTTATGAAATTAAAAGGGAAACGTACGATTTTAAGATACAATTAAATACTTCATCTAAAATATATTCTTTCTATTTAATACTTTAGTCTTAACGTATCAAGTTCCTCACCATTCGCGTAAGTGATACTATCAAGTCACGGTTTATTGTTTTTATGTGTATAACGAGAATAGGGTAGATTACTCGTTCTACGAAGCTTTATATCTTACGGGATCTGTAGTATCGACGCATTTGAAAATCTCCATAAAAATTGTTTCTTAAAAAACACGAAATTTTGTCTTTATGAGGGTATTCTATAATTCTGTAACACTTGTTTGCGCAATTGTTGTTAGAATTATTGTTAAATATAGTTTTTCGTCATCCAAATATTTATTTATTTATATATAAAATAAATATACAATTATTTAAATATAAATTACAAATATATATTTATCAAATATATCAAGCTATATAAAGTTTTTCTAAACTATAGGTACCTAAGTACTTCTTTCAAAACTATGTTTTATACTTGCGTTTACAATTATGATTACTTTTATTATAAATATAAATTTATTACTTCGTTAGATTAAACTATAATCGGATCAATCATATGTGAAGTAACTTTTTAAACGTAAAAGATGGAAGATATGTGTGTTCGAGCTTCGAAAATTAAGCATGAGCCACTGAATTCAATAAATTACAATAAAATTTACAGATATTTTGTATTTTCAAGTTTAGTTATACGACACAATCTAGTGGGCGCTGTACGACGTTCAAATTTCTGTATGGACGTTACCCATTCAAAAACCATCCACACCCGCGCTTAGGCACCTTAAATATTTACGTTTCTATTCTGCACCTGGTTGCGTAGCAATTGAAAAATTAAAATGAAAACTGAAATGATTAATAATGAAGGTCAAGCCCTTTTTTTTAAAATTTTGTTCTGAATTTATTCTAGTTTTAGTTTTTTCAATTATAATATCGATTTATGTTTTCATGCTCTTTTTGCAGGTAATATTTTACCTTCCACAGCAATATCAATTAAAGTAACAAATATTTTGACACCATACATCATAAGAATTTTAAAACAAAAAGATTACAAGAAAAAATTAAATTTAATTAACAAAAAGTTAATGTTGTTGGAGAAAAAAGGAATGTTAAATATTGATGTAGAACGTGTAGAACCAAAAATTGGAAATGTAAGACAGTATCAATTTATACATTATAGTTACTTTCAGTTAACTATGTTTTCTAAAATTAAGAAGAATAGAACAACTTTCCTGATATCTTTTTTGCATTTTTGTAGGTGGTTATAGTACATGATAAGTTAGATAAAGATTTAGATCTTCCAGCTTGGTTGTGCAGAGGGATTATTAACAGTATTCTAGATGATATGAAAAATATATATAATGTATTTTTACCAGATTATGGAATAGCAGTTGAATTACAGAGAAATGATTTTTGTATGTCTTCAACTGACTTAATTTTAGATGAGTATTTAACTTATACTGTTGGTTTATATGACATTTTACCTGCTGCCTTAAAGTATAACTCACCGGCACAAGGAGAAAGTTCACTTTTGTATGTCTAATCACAACTGTATAATCAGTATTATTTTGTTTATGTCTTAAGATTAATAAGGTTTTCTGTATATTTAAAGGGTTTCAGAGGAATGGAATGCATTAGCAATTCAATATATAAAAGATTTAATGGTAGCATCTAGCACAATTTATTTTGATCATTTAGCATCTGATGAGCGAGGTAAACAATATGGTGAATTTTACCTTAATATTGGAGGTATTATAATAAGTTTAAGTGAGGCTTTAGTTCTTAATAATACTGCCATTTATTTACGAGAAGGTGATTTTTTCATACTTTCTTTTATTTCATAAATGCTTAATCAATGTATTAAAAGTTCTATAATATTTCTGTGATATTTATTTAATATTTAGGTATGATGAAATTTTTACAAAATTTGGTAAAATGTGAGAAACTGGAAAATGATATAATCAACGATGAAATAATACTTTATAATATTTCAAAAGAGTACAAGAAAAGTGAAGAAACTAATGCACAAAAGGAAAGGTTTGTTGACAAATAAGAGTAATTATAGTTGTGTGATTTATTAACATTTTTCACTTTCTAACAGTTTTATAAAAAGAATGAACAAGTTCAAAGGGAGAAAGCAATTATATGATAAAGTAAGAAAGGGTAAAGAAAAAGTATTAATTTATGGGAAAATTAAATTTGAGTGCTTGCAAACAATTTCAGACTTAAAGTTTCCTGCTGAAATACATAAGGTATAAATAAATGACAGTATTATACTAAATTCCATAAAATTAAATGTATATTAAATTTTCAAGGCTTGGAAATCATTAATAAAGTCATTTAGTCCAAAAAAACTTCAATCATATATTTTACCAGCAATAAAAAGTGGTTTAGATGTAATAGCAATTGGAGCAGCACAGTCTGGTAAAACTCTTGGATATACATTTGCTATTTGTGGACTTTTGGCTTCGAAATTAGATGTAATGTCATATCTAAAGTAACTTATCCATATTAATTAATGTGTAATATTATAATTATGTTCTCCTTTAACAAATAATTTGAAATAGCTTCCCCGAGGTGTGAATCCAGTTGCATTGATACTGTGTTCATCATCGTCCAAAGTGTTAGAAGTTCATTCCTTGTTCACGGAATTTTTACAAAGGTACAAGACTATTGAATCTGTTGCTGCTATTAATGGTAAATCAGAAAGATCTTTAGTGGTAGGTAAACTTTTGAAGCAGTAGTTCCAGAATGAGCGTATAAAAGTAAATCAAAGTAACAATTTTTCAGGCTGAAATGTTTAACGGATGTCAGATTTTAATATCTACACCAAGATTTTTAACTGGTTTTATAGACCAGAACAGAAAATTATTGAAATTCGAAAGTCTCCAATATTTAATTTTAGATGATGGTGACGTTATTTTGGATAAATATTTTGACTCTGTAAGTTCGTTTTATCTTCTAAAAGGAGTATAAATATTCGTTCATAAAAAATATTAAATTGATTTTCTGTTAGATAAGCAAACTATTTAAGAAGCATAAAATTATTCATAACAGAGAATTAAGAAATACAAATGGAACATTACAAATCATAATAACTGCAAAACATTGGACACCACAGCTTAAAAAAATGGCAGCTGTTTTAATGGACTGTCCATACATGTGTATAGCATCTTTTATAGAAGCTACAATTTTTAAATCTGTGTACCCAAAGATGTACATAGTAAATTCAAAGACTAAAGATAGAAAGCTTTTAGGTAAACTTATACTTTTTAAAGTTTCGAGTCATTCTGTTTATTAAAATAATAAAAAGATATATTTTACAGATTTACTAAGCAACGAATTTTCTAAACTGAGAACTGTAATAATTTGCACAAATAGTGCTGAGGCTGAAAAGGTGCATAAGTTTTTAAAACAAAGTATTAAAGATATACTTTTAGCTCATGAAGATATGAATCTCATTCACTTGCAAGGTGCGAAAATATGAATTTTCATTATATTATTAGAATATTTTAATTAGAACTGCATGTTTCAATATAGGTATTAAACAATGTTGGGATGCTTGTGTAAGCGATTCTTATCCAGTTTTAATATGTACAGACGAAGTTTTGTCAGATCTAGATATTACAAATGCTACTTGGTTAATACATTATTCCATTTCTCTACGGTTTAAAACTCAATTTAACTTTCGGTTTTCAACGCTCTTCGACAACTTGCAAGAAGTATGTTACTTTACAATAGAAAGTATAAAATTATATTTATGAATACGATTGTTTGATTAAATTTTTTTAAGGAAAAATCCACATGCAAAGTAACTATTTTGGTAGACGAAAATAATGATATACAGTTTTTAAGTATAATAGAAATAATGCAACGCATAAACGTTGTAATTCCGCAAAGTTTATCAGAGAACATTGAGGTACATATAAAAAGTAGTAAAAGAGTTAATCATTTATATGTTTAATAAATACTTCTAATATTTTTTAGCATATAAGAACAGCTTTAGAGAAAAAAAAAGATAACTATCCTTTGTGTAACAACATAAAGTTATGGGGATTTTGTTACAAAAATCATTCTTGTACATTAAGACACAAGATAATTTCAGAATTGGATGCACCGATTATAGATATTCGAATGTAAGCTGCGACGTAAAGTCTTCGATTTCACAAAACGATTTTCTTTAAACATTTTGTTATTTTACATTAGGAAGGACAAAGTAAAATTTAGAATAATCAGCATACACAATGTTACTCAAATTTCTGCTAGGATTATATCGTATATTAAATTTGATACGTCGGAAGAAATAGAACTTTCAAATGTACAATACATGGAAATTATTATAAAAATTCAAGAATTTTATTCATCTGTCGACAACAGGTTAATGCATCAACATATTTCTTTGACGATTAACAAAAATTATGTGAATTTTAGCATTATTTGCTGAAACCGCTGCAACATATTTCGTTTTTATTTTTATTCGTAGAAGAAATTGCGAATCAATATATGTAGGATGTATATGTGGTCTGGAAGAACCAGTAGACTGCTATAAAAGAGTACAAATTTTACACATTGATGAAGAAGACGAAATGGATAAACCAAAATACGCAGATGTTAGATGTATTGATAATGGGGTGATTTTGAAGAAAGTGAATGTACGGTGAAGTATAACGTACAGTAAGATAATTAAAAAAGAAACATATAGTACACTGTATTTTTTGTTCGCAACAGATATATAGATTGTTACATATGCCAGAAGAATTGATAAAATATCCAGCACAAGTAGTGGATGTATTTCTTACCGATATAGCTCCGCATGACGATGAATACGTTTGGAATAGATGTGCTATCGATACTGTATTTCAATGGTTCAAAGATAATGTCGATGGAAGGTCTTATGTGATAGGAACGGTAAATTATTTTTTTGCATATCTTAGAATTTTCGAAAATTTAGAATGACATAAAATTGAATGTGCAGGTAAATCTACATCTAAAAAACACAATATGGGTTAACACTTTGGAAATTGGGACCAAATTAATTGGATACAAAGATATAGTTGGATCTTCTTTAAAAACAGAATTAATAAAAAATGATCATGCTGTTGAAAATCCTGAACATTTACAACAAATGTATCAACTTTGTAAAGATGCTGGTTTATTAGAACTTAATGGGTACAATTTAAATGTTTTAATGAATAAATAAGTATATTCACCGATCGAAGAGTTTTATATATTTTGAACATTCTGAAACTGTAAAAGGTCGAAAAACGAAAAATGGAAAACGGAAAACGTCTTTAAGGTTTATTGATATCAAAATCTTATGTATAATAATTTTTAACAATTTATTTATTAGTTACTATTTATATTCTACAATTTTTAAAGTGAAACCGTATTCCTTTACAATTAATTTACCTCTTAAATCTATGTAAACGACAATACTCATGAAAACTAAACATGAAATATTGAAGAAAATAATTTATGTGGATGTACAATTTTCAAATTTTATACAATAGTCAGATATTCGGAGGCGAGCTGTATCGGATCAACGTGATAGGAAGTAACTAAACGGACTTTCTGACCATCTTGTGTCGTGAATTCGATTGCTTGTTCATTTTCGGTGATACCTGATTGCTCCGATTCTTCCATATGATTAATTGTTGCAACTGCATTTGCATCCGTATTTTCATCCTATCGAACATATTTAATTATATACACTTAATTCCTATATAATTGAACTACTAAAATAATCGTAATGTCGTCTCCTTGTGGCCTTATTATTTAATAATTTCAAAAATTTAGTTAATAATATTACCTCTAATGCTTTTACAATTGCTTCTGCATCAGTTTGTACACTTGAAATATTTTTTATTTTTACTTCTTCGGTGCTCGCAATGTTAACGCTCTTCATGTCAGAATCTTGATTGACATGAACGCTTAACGGTGCTGCTAATTCATCTGCGATTACTCCAGGATGAACTCTAATTTCTTGACCGTTATTAAGTTGATTCACAAACTGACTCTGAGATAAAAGTTGCCGGGCATCTTGAATTGAAAGGGGAATTGGATTACCTTCTTCATCTGTAATCTGTAAATGTAGAGTTTATATATATATCTTTCTTTTCAATTCCTTAAATGTATGATATTTTATGTGTTATTACCTGTAATTGAAGGTCGGATTCTGAAAGTTCTACGTTCATTCGTTCGTTGGAATTGTTACTGCCATTATTATGAGAAGTATTCGAAAGTATTCCACTGTTTTCAACATTTATACTAGGTAACGACTGATTCGCGTTTGCCTTTTCTTCTTTATTTCTTATCATTCCGGCATCGACTAGATTATAAATGAAATATGTTATATAAGTAAGAAGAATATTGTATAGAAGTTTACGAATAAATTATATTTACCGAAATGTAAAGTCCGAGATTGATTGGGATCATCTGGATCTTGATACGACACGTAAATGATTTGTTGAATTCCATCACCTGATGCATCGTCTGTTGCGATAACTTGAGCCATTTGATCGGTCAACGAATGTTCATCAGATTCCTGAGAACTTGGTAAGATTTGCCACACTTCTCCAATTGGAGATCCTTCAACTTCACCAATAGCGGAAATTTTTGTCTCTTTGTGCACCTAGAAACAGCTCGATAATAATATTATAATATTAAATTTTATCAATTAAATTCGTGAAAATAGATGCCGACTAATTGTATACTAGAACGCAACGCAATAGAAACTTTATTATTTTTCATTACACTTTTATGAAATTTACTAACAAATTAGTAAGGTTTCCTTGATGAAAACAAGAACAAACATGTTAACGAATTGCACCGATAAAAGTTCTATGAAAAGCAGCAATGAAAAATAACAGATTTGGTAACATGGTGACCTTTAATGCGAAATTTTCGGTAAACTATAGTACTGTACAAATAAATTTTAAATTCTTACCTTCTTGTGCTTTGTTAAATTTGAACAATCAGCGAAAGCTTTACCACATACATCACAGGAATACGGTTTTTCTCCTGTTAAACGAAGCATAAAATATATATTTTAAACAAGTATAAGATAAACTTTAGATGCGTGCAATACGTTAATTGCAATACACTGTTGGAAAAATGAAAAAAAGAAAAAAAAAACGAATAGAAATTAGTATACCAGTATGAAGACGTAGATGTTTCTTTAAAGCCCACTGTTCCGTGAAACCGCGATTGCAATGAGCACACTGAAAAGGACGTTCTCCTTTATGTCTACGTACATGACACTTCCAGGTGTCTTTATGTAGGAAACACTTTGCACAAAATTCACACTTCCATGGACGCTCGCCAGTGTGTCGTTTAACGTGAAGTTTAAATTGCGAAGAAGTTGTAAATTTTCTTCCGCAATAATCGCAGCAAAAAGGTTTTTCTCCTGTATGTATTCGCATATGCTCTTGTAGATTTCCGTTTTGTGAAAAACTTTTATGACATACTTCACATGTATATGGTTTATGACCCGTATGCCACCTAAACGTAAAATCACTTGTTTATTTATTTTTCGATACAAGGTTTTTAAATTGAATTTTTCTGTTCTTATATAATAACCTGTAATGCAGTGTAAGACTGGTTTTGTGAGCGAATTGTTGTCCACAAATTTCACAGAAATATTTCTTTTCACCAGTATGCGTAGACTGATGGTTAATCAAATTCGCTTTCGTTTTAAAACTAGCATTGCAAGATTTACAAATGTATGGTCGATCGTCAGAATGTACCAGCTGATGACGTTGCAATAACTGTTTGTGCTTAAAGCTCTTTCCACATTTGTTACAAACGAAGCGGCGACCATTATTGTGTTCTGCTTCTTTATGGTAAACTACTGAACTGGGATGATTGAGAACTTTTCCACAAATATCGCAAGGATATTCTTTTTCCAGCTTATTTTTCTAAAACGTAATAAAAATGATTTATCATATTTATAAATACAGAAGTTTCTGAACTTCTCACTACTTACTTCATGTATCGACATGTGAGCCTTTAAAGCTAATTGTTGCGTAAAATTCTTATTACAAATAGTACAACGAAATAATTTTTCACACTGGTGAACCGTTTTTACGTGCGAGTCATAAGCTTGCATATTTTCAAAGCATTTGTCACACTGTTCGCATGAAAAAGTCTTTTGAGGGTGATCAGATACATCCGATAGCTTATTTATATTTGTTTCTTCTGATGAAGTAGGTTCGAGAATATCTGTAACTCTATGATCCTCTTCGGATAAAGAATGTTTCAATTTGGAGTTAAAATCTTGGACACTATGTTCAATGATCTGAGCATTACTATCTTCTGCATGATGACTTGTTTTCTGATGCAAGCTCAAATTGTCCTTACTTGTGAATAATTTTTTACATTCTGTACATTCATATTTTATTCCTTTATGGAAACTCCTATTTGAAAAAGATATATGAATTATATAAATCAAATATTTTTATGATATTTATAGAAATTTTTACTTGTGTATAATATATCTGCTGCGTTGTAAAAAGCCTCGGCCACAGAGTTGACACGTAAATTTATTTCTTCTACGACGTACTTTTGGTCTACCTCTGCCTCTTCCTCGGTTCACTATTACTAACTCTCCTAAGTCTTTTCCTTCTTCAGATTCCAAGTGACCAATTATTTCTGTAACACATAAATGTTTATTGAATAAAGAACATAATGTAATAAAGTATTTCATCATTTCTTACCTTCTTGACTATCAGGGACAGACATGTTCAACTGTTCTTCAGCATCTTCAAAGTTATCAGGTTCTTCATCATCTTCTTCGTCGATTACTCCTTCTTCCTTATATATTCTTTCTAGTTCTTTGCCTTGAACTGCTTCCATATATCTAAATTATTCCATATTCTGTTATAAAAATGATAGCAGCTATATTGACTTATTTTGTTTCTAAAAAATACCTTTTAGGAACCTTACGCTTCCTACGGCGCCTTCCATCTCCATCCATTTCATCTACTTCTTCTTCTTGTTTATCTTCTTCCTCTTGACTTCCACCTTCAACCGCTTCTCCTTTCGCTAATTCCTGAAATTGAATCTCTTCTGTAGCGAGCAACTTTTGAAAATGTGTACATTGAAAACGAATTTTTTTCTTGGAAAATGAAAAGTTTTTCATTATATGCATTAATTTAAATGAATATCTGAAACAAAAATATTATATTTACAAACCATAGGTATATTTTCTATATGAGTTTTCGGCGGTCGTCCTCTCTTTCGTTTTGGCTTGTTTAATCCTTCCATTTGTAAACTCATTTCATGCTCTGCAGCATACATAGAACCATCTGGCATTACTGTAATGAATCAAAATATGAAATACTTAATAATTTTTTAAACATATTTCATTAAAATGTTACGTTTAAAATAATACTTTTTATTATAATTTGTTGCTCGAATTGATCTTTTTCATTATATTGTGAAATGTTATCTAACTCTGATGCAGTTGCTACTATTTCTGAAGTTTCTTTTCCAGCACGAAATCGTTCCCGTGCAACCTTACGTTGCTGTTCTACCTGATGCTTCCACATCTCACGAATTTTTCTTTGACCATCCACCAACAACTCAAAGAACTGAATTGTTGCCTCCAATTGTATATTACAACCGGGACAGATAGTGCGTGGTAGTTTGCCATCATCTCGGATCTTAAAGTCAAACGATAGCATTATAAAATTATTTTCAGATTCAATTAATGAACATTACATTTCATAATGTCATAACCTTAAAAAGACTTCCCATGTTTTTGTATTCATGTATTTACAATTTCACAAATTATAATTTAGAATGTAAAATTTTGTGTAAGTACCTTTGATCAATGTGTCTCTTAACCAATAAGCCAAAACAAAGAAGCGCAACAGTAACAATGAAACTATTAGAATAATCGAAAACACAAGAGTTTGTAGAACAATTTGTTAATGGAACTGAAGTATTCAGTATCATATACAATATTCTGCTACCAAGTAAGAATACTTCATAGAAACATAAGAGAACTTTTTCACGGAACATCAAATTTTCTCAAAACGATCAAGCTACGAAGCTAAATAAAAAATATTAAAAGGAAACATTAGATATTTGATTCGTGTAGTATTTATACAAAAAGCAGGAAGTCAAGTTAGAAACTGATGTTTCGAAGACATACCTTGAGCGGCAAATACCGATTCACCATGGAACTCAAATCTGGATCATCATTGTCTCCTGTGTAGAGTAATTCTCCATTTCCATTATCTTCTGCACATAATCTACAAATCGTTGAATCATAAAGTCTTACTTCTGCCATGACTCCAGATGAAGTGGTCACTAACGACTAACATCGATTTTATCCTAACCAAACTGACGAGCGAATGCGTATAGCTTTACCATAGTAGTTATTTGAATTATTTATTACGAGATCTTTACTTTAATATTTTACACGTAAATACTCAAATACGGAATAAATTAACTTCTTCGTGCGTAACATCGTTTATATATCGTAGCATTTATACATTTTTGTTTAAGACAGCTTATAGAAGCGATAATCGATTTATCGTCGATATCTCGACGAACTCGGTAGGTACCTTACATACACATATGCACAGTAATATATCGATACCTTGAAATCGATTCCTCGCAAAACGTCGATAGCAATATGTTATGTTTACTTACCTAAATTTTAATGTAAACAAAATAAGAATATTAAAGAAGAGCGTTGTTTCAAAATTTTTAATAAATATTCTAATAAATACTGTATCCACGTATCTTGTAATAAATATTATAATGAATATGACATTAATTTGAATAAATATGCTGACACACTATATAATAAAGTTTATCTAGTAATTGTTATTGTAAGATACATGAAATATTTTCAACGTATAATTTTATGTTTTAATTATTAACATCTTAATTTAGTAGTGACTACAATTGATAATATTAATAATGGAGAGAGAAGAAAATGGAAATGTGGAAAATGAATTTTATACTGCGGCTGCCAAATATTGGGAACATATTCCGCCAACCATAGATGGAATGCTTGGTGGTTTTGGATTTATTTCTCAAACAGATATTAAAGGTTCCACAACATTTTTAAAGGCTTTATTTGAGGTGTGATAATCTATGCGTCTTATAATCAGTATTGATTGAATACTTAAGTAATCGTTTGCATTTACTTTCAGTCAAAGTATGCACCATCGAAAACATACGCAATAGACTGCGGTGCAGGCATAGGAAGGATAACTAAGAATCTATTATTAAATCATTTTAAATGTGTCGATTTAGTGGAACAAAATTCAAAATTTCTAGAAGCCGCTAAAACATGTTTAAAAAACTATTCTGCAAGAATTGGCAACTACTACCCCATTGGTAATTTTATAATTGGCGCAGTTAATTATTTAAAAAAACGTGTAATTAATTAAGTAACATTTAAAGGACTCCAAAACTTTTGTTTTACTGCCAAAAAGTATGATGTCATTTGGTGTCAATGGGTTTTGGGTCATTTAAAAGAGGATCATTTAGTAGAATTCTTTAAAAATTGTTCGTAAGTACTTTAAATGTAATTACATAGAAATGCAAGTACTTAACATTTCAATATAATTTTTATAGAATAGGTTTAAGGCCCAATGGTGTGATAATAGTTAAGGAGAATGTCACAAGTTCCAAACATTTGGAAGTCGATGAAAAGGATTCTTCCGTAACACGTCCTTTATCTCAATTATACCATATATTCCAGAAAGCTAATTTAATTTGTGTCAAAGAGGAACAACAACATAAATTTCCACGTGGATTATATCCAGTTTATATGTTTGCTTTAAAACCAGTTAACACTCTTTGAACTTGTCATAAATGAAACCGAGTTAATAAACTGTTTCATTGTTTGTATACTTTCTTACATATATATTTTTCTTTATTTTCCAACTTTTATACCAAAATACAATGGAAAACTCTATTCGTTTGTAAAAGTATTTATAAATTTATTTCGGTCGTATTTTTTCATACATAAAATGTTGATTTGCATCTTGAGGAGAAGCATTTATAAGACGTTTCTTTACTGCATGAAAATGTGTTAAAGCGAAATTATACAATTCGTTTTCCATCTTCCAAACAACAGATTTTTGTATTTTCTCCACTGTTTCGGGTCGTGGATTAATCTTTTGCGTAGTCTGACGCAAATGTGATTTATTATCTGAAATATAGTAAATTATAAACATTCCATAAAACAAGTAAAATTGATGAAATTCTCTTCTCTCTTACTGTGTAAAAAAGAATTAGAAGCTCCTTTAAAGAAACGTGGAAGCACGATTTGTAAAATTTCAATAAATTCTGTTAATTCCTCTGTCACTCCAACGAGGAGATAGTGCTTTTGTAAATTTCTCTTTGCTTCTTCCAATGCCCAACTATTTCCAATTTCCCTGTTAATTTTATTTATTTCAATTATAATAAAAAATTATTATCATTATTATGTTAAATTAAGTCTTACCAACATGCAGGATCATGGCCACATAAGAAAGGTATTTGTAACCACATATTATTTGGATCACAATCTGGTTGACCAGCATCGATACAATCATCAAATGTCTAGAAATCCATAAACTTAACATTACCTGTGTATCTAATATAAATAATAAGCAATGCTCACTAACCTTTGTATCTCCATGCTTTTTTCTAATTAAATGCGGCCTAAAATTATCTCCATATCTTAAAAAATAATAATAAGAAACGAACCTATCTAAAGGTTTCCGCAGAAGATTTATATATAAGGGCATTTGTCTTATTCCAAACCTTAAAATATAAACTTAATTTAAGGCAATAAGAAAATATACATTGCATATAATAAATACCTTTGTTTACTCACTTTTCAAAGTTTAAAAATGCCACATGACCGTGATAAAATGCTGGTTTCTTCACAGTCCATTCACTTATATTATTTGCAAATTGTATCTATAATTTTAAATGCATAATTAGAATGATTCTGTAATAAATAAAATTGATGAAATAAAAAATATAATATTACCTGATTAGGAAGAGTAAGAGTATGCATATTGTTGGTAACGTTAATGTGTAGAACATGATATTTATTTTGTTTACACAGATCATAGACTAAACCTACGAAACTGGTTGAAGCTGTCTTGGGTACCCTGTTGTAGATTATAACGATATCATCAAAAGCTGACGATTTATGAGATCGTTGGTTGCTTTCAAGTCCACTTTGAATACTCTTTTGGTCTTGTGCGACGGCATTGTCTGGAAGTATGATACGATACCTATGTTATTCCATCACCTTTAACAGAATGAAATATTAAAAGGACGATGCTCTTTACATCAGAAATTAATAGAATTACATTCTCTATAATCACGCGTACGTAATAATTTGTAGTGATCCTCCAAAAAATTTAATTTAAATTTCAAATAAATAACAGTGACTGTGAATATCACCACCAAAATCCATTGTAGTAGAAAGTTTCTATGTATCATTCTTCTTTGTTAGGGTTGCTAGTTTTTCTGCATTATGAAAGTCACAGAACAAAACACCTCACAAATTGTTTGCAACACTGTTACTCCAAACTAACATAAAATCCAATCTGAAATAATAAAATCTAATAATAATTTATAACACTGTCAACATGGTTCGAGGATTTGTGGTATGTACCTATGTAATTGTGACCTGAGGAATTAACCATTATTAATTTGCGCAAAATTTCAACTATACAACACAGATAAAATTAATAATTATATCGATTGTGAATTATTTACACAGAAAACGGAAAGTTTACGTCCATGAAGGCTACGCACTTTAACCAAACTTGTGCGTAACACAACGTTCGATACTTCGAATCATCGATGAATCGATTATCACACCTCGATTAATTGAAATCGAACGGTCGATTAAAAAGCAACAAAAGTTCGATAAATGAAATGCTTAAAATTCGCTGGTCGTATTTAATTCGTCAATTATTAACTTTTATATATTCTAGTATCAAAAATACTTCTTCAACTTAGATATACAATAAAATACTTATACTCGATGGCGTGAATTGTACGAAACCTTTTTCAAAACAGGATATAAAATAAAAAAGTTAATTAATTGGACACATTATTTGTTCATAACATAGTTTATTTTTTTTTACATCTTTATGACGTATTCGATTAATACAATAAAGTAAACTGAATAATTTTATTCTAAGGAATTTAACATCAAAAGCTGTTTTAGTACTTTCGTTTGACTTGTTTCTCTTATTTCACCTGCTAAAAACATTTCATCTACAACTGTATACACCTGTAAAAGATTTTTATTATGAAAATGAATTACCTTCATTGTAACAATGATATTATAAATTTAAGATTTAAACGTACCTTATAAAAATTGAACACCAGGTCCAATTCACATACATTATGGAAATATTCATTTAATACTTCAACAAAATTATGTATTGCTTCTAAATAACATAAATTATTGTCATTGACATCAACGCAAATGCAAAAATATAAACCAGCGTATCTTCTATAAACAATCTTGAAGTTCCGAAACTAGAACATAACAGATTAAAGTCTTTGTGACATATTCAAGTTAATATATAAAGATTACCTCAACAAAGTTAGTGTGCTTGGCATCCCGTACGGTCACCACTGCATGAACATCTTCTATTAATTTCTGTTTTTCATCATCATCGAAGTTCATGTACCATTTAGCTAACCTGGTTTTTCCAGCTCTGTTTTGAATGAGAATGAAACGAATCTGTGATCGAATTAGGGCTCATCTTAGAAAATTTATAATTTTTCTTTAATATAATTGACAAGTTGTGTCAAAAAAATGTAATTTCTAATACTACACATAATTTCTTTGTTTATGCAAAATTTAACTGTTATGTTCATTGGTCGAATAAACAAATAGAAAAAGGAAATACTTTTAACAATATCTTATTAATTACTTACCATAATTAAACTACTTTATTACAACTGATAATGGAATTCGTGCGCTCAATAGCTACCTGACAACAAGAACAACGCATGAGATTGAGTGACATTTGTTGCCGCCCCTGGGTTATCAAGACTACAGATTAAATCACATTCTAATTTAGAAATTTTATTTAAAAAATTATAAATCTTAACAGTTAATTATGAAAAGCCATAAAAATTAATTGAAATTTTTGAAAAAACATTTTCATTTTACTTTTCGTATATTTTGTAGACTTATGTTGACACTTGTCAAACTAATCTTCAGAAAAACAAAATGGCGGATGGTGGTAAAGATGAATTTGAAAACGAGGAGGACCAGAATTTGACTGAAAATACAGATGATGAAATAATTTGGAAAAATGATTCTGACTTGCATAAATACGAAGAGAAAAAACTAATAGAAAATTCTGAAGAAGAGAATATATATTCAGAAGACACTGAAGAATATTCGTTCTTAGCTAGGAAACCAAAACATGGGACTATATCTCAAAACTTTTTGGAGTTTTTGTATCCTTGATTAAATCATAAATTCTTTTTTTTTTATAATCCTTTATTTACATTAGAAATTATATAATTTCTTAATATTAAACAGTCATTCTTATGCATATGATTGTCAAAAGTTTTTCAATCTCTGTGTAGTTAATAAAGATATTATTGCCTTTACTTCTGGCAATTTGATTCATTTTTTGAATGTAACAGAAAATACAATTTCATTCAAAAGAAGTTCTATGGGTGGTGGTATTGGTCACATTTCTGTGAGTAGCTGTTTTCTTACATGAATATTTTATAAATTTATCAGATTGGTAAATACAGGAGTTTATAAATCTTGTAATTATTTGGCAGAAAAATCCTACTGCTGAACATTTTGCTGTAGCAGAAAATGGCATAAAACCGGTAATAATTATTTACGGTTGGCCTTCTATGAGAATTATAACTGTATTGAAAGGTGGAACAACAAAACGTTATCTTCATTTGGCATATAGGTGGATAAGTTTATGATGAGAACTTTTAAATTATATTGTTAAAATGTAATTACAGATTTTAATTACAGCCCTGATGGTTTATTGTTGATATCGCAAGGCGGTGAACCTGATTATTTTATCTCTCTTTGGAATTGGAAAGATTACACAATTATTTTGCAATGTAAATCATACATTCAAGATGTATACAATGTAACTTTTTCTAAATATATTCCTGGCCAATTAACTTCCAGTGGATCAGGACACATTAAGTTTTGGAAAGTATCCAAAACATTCACTGGATTGAAACTTAAAGGGCAAACCGGTAAATTTGGAAATACAGAAATTTCTGATATTATAGGGATTCACCCGATGCCCAATGAAACAGTAAGAGAATAATGTTCTACATTTTGATGAAAAAGTATATCTACATGGCTTTATATATTTTAGGTAATTTCGGGATGTGAATGGGGTAACATATTATTATGGGATGAAAATTTAATTAAACTTGAAGCATGTAGAAAAAATAAAGAACCTGCGCATACAAATTATATTATTCAATTTGAATATATTAGCGGGGAACTTATATCAGTAGGTAATGTTTCAAACAAAAGTGAACAAACTTAAAGATAAATTGTAATTTTCTGTATTTGCTTATTATAGGATTAGATGGATGGATACGATTTTGGTTTTATGACACTATTGATCATGCTGATCTTCCTGATGGAGAACAACTTCTTGAATTACAACCGATATATGAATTTCATATTACAGAAGGAGAAAAGCATTCTCAAAAAAATGCAATGCTCATGAGTATTCAGAAAAAAGAACCAAACGATTCGGAAAAAACAATTTGGTATGCCCAGGTAAATATACCACAATTTGGAAACTCTTGACATTGCTATTTAAAAATATGTTTGACAGGATGGAAATGGGGGATTATGGTTACTCGATCTTTGCACTAATAAAAAAGAACACTTACAGAAGAAGATATTTACATGTCATGCTGGTCCTATAATTGATATGGACAAAGCAAATTGGGGTCCATTTATTGCATCACTTGATAAAAGTGGTCAGTTACATATTTATAATTATGTCGAAAAGAAATTAATAGTTGTTTACATGTTTCACGATAAAGGAAGTCAAGTAGTTTGGTTACCTCCTCAGGTAAATGCTTCTTTTCTTATATTTATATTGCTGGTAAAATTGGTAATATTATCAAAACATGTAGATTGAAAAAACGGGCTCTACTATTATATGTGCTTTTCAAAGTGGCATTATTCGAATGATAACAGTAGCAGTAAAGGTAGCAGATACGGAGAATAACATAAAAGGAGATTATACAAGGTTGATTCAAATATTAAAACCACATTCAATGCCAATTTCTGTAATGTCTTATAATATTTCATGTAGGTATGTATTATATGAGTGTAGTAATGGCACTGTTATTATAAAAATCAATTTGTTTTTAGTTTATTAATAACTGGTAGTGAGGATGCTACTGTTTTTATATTTAATATACATTCTACTAAGACCTATCCAGAAATTATACCTATCGGTTATGTAAAAGTTCCATCATCCGTTACTTGTATGCAATGGAATCCATTAGAGGTAAATATATATTGTATAAGTATTACAATTGTACTTTATCGAATATCCGGCAAACAACTACATGCTATTTGCTTTGAGTAGGAAGCAACTTTGCTAATAGGATGTTTTAAAGGAGACTGTGTGGAGGTACAATTACCTACTACACCTCAATCATACACAACTACTTCTTATGAATTAGTTAAGTGTAAATGGGCAAAATTTAAATTTGAATCGGTGAAGTCTTCAATACAAAGAGAAATGGTAATAAAAAAGTATGAAGAAGAGAAAAAAAGAAAAATTACAGAAAAAAAGAAAGAAATAGAACAATTATTGATTGAGAATCCTCATATTGTAATCGACGAAGAAACATTTTTTGGTGATAATTTAGTTTTAATTTTAACAAATCAATTTAACTAAAATGTACAATTATGTATCAATGTTTGATTTTTTATTTTAGCGGAATTCAATAAGGAGAAGATAATCCTTCCAGAAATTCATGTTCCTGAAATTCCAAACAGAATTTTAATAGTAGAATATGGTACCAATGAAAATATATGGCTGTTTGTAGCTGGTTTTGATGCAGGATACGTTTATGAATATCCGCGTCCACTTTCTGGAAAAATAAAAGATGGCAAACCGATTAATAGTAGAATAATTGAAAATGCAGAGGATATGGAGATGCACAATTGTTTTTTCTAGTATGGCAATATAAAAATATCTGAAAAATATAAAAGTATTTTAAAAACAAAAAATTATATAAAATTAATGTTACTTTGATTTTTAAGCAATAACAAGAAATATTTATTCTTGGGAACACAATACGGAGAACTTTATGTATGCAAGATGAAGAATAATGATCCATTAGATTTCTCAGATTATTGGATTCTTCCTGTACATGATTATTATAATGGACACATATCTAAAATGTTATTAAGTTATGATGAGAAAATGCTTCTGACATGTGGTTATGATGGAAACATATTTTCCTTTATGATCAATGATAATGCTGCAGGTGAAAGTGTAGAAATACCAGTTATAGAAGACCCTTTGCCTTTAGTAAATTCATTTGTTAATTAATATACTTCTCAATTGAATACAAATTCAACTAGTATATCTTAAATATTTTTATGTATACAGCCTAAAAGTATTGAAGATATTGAAGATGCTGACTATCCAAGCTTGGAAGAAGTAATTACACAAATGGAACGCAATCGGATTATTTCATTTGCGGAAAAGAAGAAGGAAGAAATCTTGCTAAATATACGTGGCTTAGTAGAAGAATATGTTCAAATTATTAACAGGTTTAATTCATTTCATTTTTCCTAATAATTATAAATAAACTGATGCTTTACAATATTATATTTTATTAAATTAGGAATAAAAAACTCTTGCCGTCTCAGCAAATACAACAGTTTGAATTAGATCCTAGAATTACAGAAGACTTAGAGCAACATTTGAAAGAACAAATCGTTTTGACGCAAGGAAAGCTAGAATTTCAAGCAGAAAAAAGTAAACTGGAATTAGAAAAATTAATAGATCATTTTGTTACACCTGTTACATGTTTACCTTTTGCTGTATGCAGTATATTGTAAGGATTATTATTATTTTTCAGTTTAATTTTTAACGTTGTATTTTTGATATATACATATATATATATATATATATATATATATTCTTATATATATATATTCTTATATTTCAAATTAGGAATGAGAATAAAGCAGTACATTCCATAAGAGAATTAAAACTAAATATTGATAAGATTTCGAAACATGTGGGAGTAGCAGAACGTTTTGAAGAGCAACAACAAGTGCACAAGTATATCTTTTTATATACAATTATAAAATCTTGTAGTTTTTAATGAAGTTCAACTTGGTTTCACATTTCTTTTATCATCCAATTATAGGATAATACAAAAAGAAATGGAAGATATTAAAGAAGAAACAGATGAAGAGGAAATACACTACTTAGAAGGATTTTTAGATGAAAATTATAGTGATTTAACATCTGGATTAGGAATTCAAATTAATCAGATACTGTTAAAATACAAAGAGAAGAAAGCAAATTTGATTCAACGACAGAAAGAAGTAAATAAATTATAACACAGAGTTATTGGAATATAAATAACGTGTAACAAGCAACATTATTTTCAGTGGCAAAAATTACATTCTAGAAAACCGAATTTAGCTAAAAGTCGTATGGAAGACGCAATTTTTGTTGAGAAAACAAAGAGAGCTATTGGTGAATACAATTTAAAGACAACTACAGGTTTTAATCTAGCTATAAAGAAACAAACAGCTGCTATAAAATATAAGCAACTGTTAGATTGCAGAAGCAAGGTAAATGCAAAATGTTTGTTGGAATGATTAATGTAGAAGTAATTCTTTTTCATAGCTTCATCACTTGCGCGAAGAATTTAATGCAAAACTAAATGCAGTTAAAGTAAAAAAACAAAAACTGCAGGCAGAAGTCATCAAATTGATAGAAACACTTAAAAGAATTCATGCAGAGATTCCATTTAAAAGTATGAAACCTTTGCCACATCCACCAAAATTAGATTTTGATATTGAATTTCCTGAACACAAGCTTGAGGTCAGTTAACATCATCATTTTTTATAATTACAGTAGAATATAGAACAAATTTTCTTTCTCAACATCATTTTTACAGCTCGAAAAGTATATTTCAATGACAGAAAAGGTGCAACAAGTGAAACGACAAAGACGATCATCAACCATGGATTTACCAGTAGATCAAGTTGACTTAGAATATGAAGTATTGCTCTGTGATGATAAAATGACTCTTGGAGAAGAAATAGAAAGCCTTTCTACTCTTGTATCTTCATCAAAAATGAAAATAAAGGATCACTTATCTACGCAAACTGACTTAATACGAAATCTAAATACGAGCGATGCTGTTCAAACTTCATGGGAACGTGAAATGAAACGCGCCCGCATGTGGCGCAAAATATACGAACAAGATTGTATTTTACGATATATCTCTGACAGTTATAAACAACTGGAGTATGAATTAAATAATTTAGAAGAATATAGGCTTGATGTTGTATATCAAAGTGCATATATGAATTTGTATTTATTAACACTTTATGAAGAATTTATAATTCTTAGAGAGTGTGAAGCAGCGGAATATACTCTTGAAGAGAAGGTTAATCAAAAGTCAAATGAACATGCTGTGCTGACATTAAAAGTTACTGTCACTATGAAAATAATAATACCAATTACTTAACATTAAATAATATATATTATTTTAATAGATCCAAACTACTAATATTAAAATCGTAACCAGAGAAGAAGAAATTAGAAAGTTGCACTCAAAGATTAAAGAGATAGCCACTGAATTCACAAGAGTCATAGCTAGAAACAAATTTTATGATTTTCTTCAAAAAGTATTTAAAAAAAAATCCACAGCTATGAAAGAGAGAAATGGTTTTAACTTCCTCTACTTTTTATAACTATATCCTTCTTCATTACTTAGTCTTTGTTAATATTGATTTAAGCTATTGAATTTTAATTGTAGGCTCTGCAGATACAGTTACACAATCATCAGAGACTAGTACCGATGAAACCAACAGTACAGTAGATTCTGAAACTGAACAGATTTTATTTGATGAAAATATATGTCCACCGGGATGTGACAAACAGTTATATGAAATGACACTTTCCATGAGAGAAAAACGATACACATGCGAATCTCAGATTAGGGAGGAACAAAAAGAAATTGAATTGTTATACAAAGAATTAGATGCAGACACTAAAAGCTTAAGAATTGTTGAAAATAATTTAAGAATCAATCAAGAAGACTTGAAAAAGTTTATGGTATTATAAAATATTTTATATCTCTGTGTAAAATAAGTTGATACAATTTTTAACTCCTTCTATTTCAAATAGGTGGAAAAACAAAAGAAACTAAACAACATTGATGTAACAATTGTATTAAAAATGCATCAACTGCAACACATAGATTCTGGATGTACTACAGAGATTCAAGACTGTGTAGTTTTTAATAGGCAGGAATTATCAAATTTGTATGCTAGAGTAGGAGAATTGCAAAAAGAAACTTTAGATTTAGCAGAACAACGGAAGTAAGTTAAGAATTATACAAACTATTTTGCAGGAAACAAATATTTATTTTTTGCAGGAAAAATGAAACGCATCTTAAAAGAATAAAATTAGATTTGAAATATATGGAAGCACAAAACAAAAAATTAGAGTTAGAAATTAAAGAGAAAATGATACAAAAATTTGGTCGAAAAGTATCTTTGATCAATCTATACGAAATTGTTTTGCAGAGATTGATATATGAAACCAAAACGGATATACATAAAATTATGAAGAACTTCTCCGAAGACATGAAAAGTAAATTAAGGTTTTCAACATTTTTTGCAATCAATTCGATAAGAGTTTATCAATTAATGTTTCAATTTGATTTTTTAGATGTAAAACGAGATTGTAACGAAGGTTTAATTGTTTTAACAAATTTAATTCGAAATAATACTGAAAAAGTAAGCCTATTAACAGTGTTGGAGAAAGAAAAGATTAAACTGAAAAAAATATTGAAACAACTTCCAATTTCAGAAGTAAGTACAACATTATTGTAATTATTAACTGTATAATAATTAATTAACATTCAATATTTTATTTCATCCTAGGAAAGTATGTTGCAAGTAGAACTTCAGCATCAAGCCGATATAGCTGCACTTGAAAGTATTCTTCACAGTCAAGTACAACAGAAACATTTGCTTCAGTATGATGTAGGAAACCTTAGAAACAGACCAAAAAAATTGCTTCACACTTCTGTGAAGGAAAACGTACTATAAAGATTCATGTATTACAAAAATAAAATATAACAATTTACAGTATTGTAGTATAGAATGTAAAGTTTCAATTTGAAGTTCATCCATAAATTATACAAAACACTTTGGATTTTAATAAAGTATATAATTTTTTAGCTGATCATTATCCATAAGAATAAAATACTGCATCAGATTTGAATTTTTAAGTCGATAATGTAGTTTGATTTGGACCAAGAAACTACACATATAATCTCGTCGATGATGCTACCTGACAGTCTTTGGGAAAGAAAAACAGGGATAAATTAAAAGATTTCCAATCTTTTTGCTGAATTTCCCTGCGGAGACAATAATTATTTTAGTTCTAATTATATGATATTTATATGAGTAAATAAGTACTTTATGGTATCTACCTACCTAGGTACCTTATAATACACGCCACACAATTAAACAAGTGGATTGCCTTGCTATAAGCTATAAGTTTATGGACATTTTTAAAGCTAGGTTGTAAACAAACAAGCAGAAAGTGATGGAGAATAAATAGAAACAAAACCTACCATATATTAAATCTCTTTAGATTTAATTTTACGTAAAATATATAGAGTTTTTATTTTTAATCAATACAGGGATAATTATGAAGTTTCGTTTTTGTGTAAAGTGTAACCTATAAATTTTATTGGTGAAGTGCTATTTTTTTAAAAATATGAACATTATTGAAATTATAAAGTTCCTTTTTAAATCAACTGTTTCTAATAGATTCTTTAATTAATTACAAATTGATTCAGAAGATAATTAAAGACATTTTTATACTGAGCGTTGTAAAGACAAACCGAAGAAAATGGATCAGATGCTACCAAGTCCAGGGTTTAGTATACCCAGTATAGGAACTCCTTTGCATCAACCAGAAGAGGATCAACAAATCTTGCCTAATGCTTTGCAACAACAGCAGCAACAACAACCACCACAGCAGCAGCAACAGCAACAACAGCAGCAGCAGCAACAACAACAGCAACAACAGCAGCAGCAGCAGCAGCAACAACAGCAACAGCAACAATATCAATTACAACAATTACATGCCATGAGTCCAAACATGCAGAGTGGAATGCTTATGATAGGAACACCGCAAAAAACTATGCACGCTTATGCGACAACACCTGCATTTGCGCCACCTCAAAGTCTTATGCAACCACAAACGCCGGTAACTAAATAATATATAGTTATTAATTTATCTGCTGTTATAATATGACTTCAAGAAAAAATTTATTTTTAGCAAAATATGATGTCCCCTTTAGTTCAGAATAATAATCACATCGCACCTTCATCGATAGGACCATCCACTCCGGGTCCTATGACACCAATGACTCCAGCTTCTGCGGATCCAGGGATTTTACCACAGCTTCAGTAAATAAAAGTTTAACTTAGAAAACGCTATGATAAATATTACATGCTATTTTTATTTACAGAAACATTGTCTCTACAGTCAATTTGAACTGCAAATTAGATTTGAAGAAAATTGCTCTTCATGCAAGAAACGCAGAATATAATCCAAAAAGATTTGCTGCAGTTATTATGAGGATAAGAGAGCCAAGGACTACTGCTCTAATATTTAGTAGTGGAAAAATGGTTTGTACAGGGGCAAAGAGTGAAGAAGACTCTCGACTAGCTGCAAGAAAGTATGCCAGAATTATTCAAAAGCTGGGTTTCCCTGTTAGTAAATATTTTATTGGTAATACCGATCATTTATAATTGATAATATTAAAATTAATTTATTTTGGCTACAGGCAAAGTTCCTTGACTTTAAAATACAGAACATGGTAGGCAGTTGCGATGTAAAATTTCCAATTAGATTAGAAGGCTTGGTGCTTACTCATGGACAGTTCTCCTCGTATGAACCTGAACTTTTTCCTGGCTTAATATACAGAATGGTTAAACCTAGGATTGTTTTACTTATATTTGTATCAGGGAAAGTAGTCTTAACGGGTAAGTATTCAATCTGTACGGATTACAATCTGTAAACATAATTATTTTCAAAGATAATTTAATTAATTAATGTTTATATAGGTGCGAAGGTTCGACAGGAGATTTATGAAGCATTTGATAATATTTATCCAATTCTGAAGAGCTTTAAGAAACAGTAACTTAATTTATCATTATATATTAATGTTATGCCTTAAAAGGATAAAATGTAGGTAAGATATCTTGGTTTTCGACCCGACGGGCAACTAGTAACTTTTTCCTAATGTTAAATTTGTTTTTAATAGCAAAGTATATTAACTTAGTCAAGATAAATAGAATGACTTCCAAAACTATTTTTTTCAAAATTTCCTCATACTTACTGTGGGGCAGACTGAAAAAAATACCTTTAAAACTGACCACTGAAGTGTCTTCTCGATAATGCAGTGCCTTGATCGAGAGATAGTCACCTCTTAGAATTTGTTCTTAATTTATATATTTATGTAATTTCAACTTTATCTGCATAGATTTAGTTTTTTTCTTAGAATGCAAGGTGTAATTTATGTATCTTTTATGTACCTTTTCTGTTGAACATAACTGTTGACAATTATATGTGTGCAAGCAAAGTGGAAAATGGAGAAAAAATTAATATAAATATGGAATGGAAGAAGAATTGTACCACTATACGTATGACTATCGAAATTCTGAAAAATTCCTCAATTTTATAAAAGATTAAATTGCATTTTGATACGTTGTATATGAAATAGTTGTTATAAGCAGTACAGTGATTATGAAAATATTAAAATTATACAAATTTTCTATTGTAAAAATATATATTTAATTGCATTAAAAAATTGTTCATTAATTAAAATATTTATTATTTTAGTTACTTAATTGTGTAATTTCATAATTGTTTTAACTAAACACTGTTGAAGCACAGGGCATATATCTTTATTAACTGTCGTTAAAGTATCTGTTGCGCGCACAATCGAATTTGTATCAATACTGCCAAGTAGGAACACCTCTGAGATTTGACCATGTTGGGGAAGACTAGCAAGCGTTAGTATCCCATGATTAAAATTATTTTCGTGATCTGGTTGTGTGTTACATATTGCCTCTTCTGTATCTGTAGGATCCACTAAGAAGTTGTTACCGTAAATGCCCTGCATTATTATTATTATGTTAACATGTTTATCAAAAGAAGATACTTCACAATTATATTTTTGAATAATGTACTTACAATGGTGGAAGCTGTAACCAAACCAAACATAGGAACACCTGCATTAGCTAAGGCAACACTAGCTGCCATGATCGCTGCAGCCAATGAAGATCCAGCATTATCTAGGACCATGGCGTATACATCTACTTGAAAATTAGGAAACTCGTGCTGTAAAAATATTGTAATTATATACTTTTGTAAGAAAACATATAAATCATTTAATAAATCTGTTTCATCAAGAACATTTTAAAAGCTTATTTATATGTATACTATTGTATGTATACGTATATATTTAGAAACATTGATTATTTAATGACATTTGTACAAGACATTTAGAAATAAACACTTTTAATTAAATCTGTAATCAAGATCATAAATTAATACTTACCAAACAAACCGCTGGTTCTAATGCTTTCTGTAAAATCAAACTATATTGTTTTTCTTCTGCATTTTGTTGATGAATTCTGCGCTTCTCGCATGAAAAAGAGGCAAATTTAAATTCACAATAGATTTCTCCTTGAACACAATAGCCACTCTTATTTGGTACTTCTCTGGGATCGAATACTGAGCAAACTACTTTTGTGTTTCCCATTTCTATATATGCAGAACCTTTAGCTTGACTAATTACACCTGTTTTTAAAACTATAAATACAAAGAAGCAAGTATTATAATCGATATATTAATAAAATAATTTAATTAATTATATATTTAATAATACGAATGTAAATTTATATTATTTAAAATCTTACAAATTTTTCTTATTTCACTGTTGGTACGTTTGTCATTTCTTTTACTTAAATCATACTTTACTTTATCACCCTTGTCGTTAATATTAGAGTAAATATGATAAGGAAACGATACTTCTGGGCCATTAAGACGTTTTTGATCAATGGGCATTTTTACCTAAAATGTAATTACTATTTAGTTCAAAGTCTTTTAAATAATAAGTGTTAACTTAACTAAATAGTAGGTGTAAACCAAAACTGTTATTAAGTCGAAGTTGGGTATAACTTTTATTTCTAAGTTCCAGAGAAAAAAGTTTCTGTGAAATGTTCTTGGATTTATTAACTATTAATATTACAATGTTATTAATAATATTTTCTTTCTTTCTCGAGGAAAAACTCAGAAATAGGAGTTCGACTATTATCCTGAGCCATTCACATAACTATAGATACTTAATTTTCTGTCAAAAATAAACTAATTATATAAATCATTTGTATAATAGTTATATTAATAATTCGTAAGTAATGTGCGTTTGATCAATTCATAAATTATAATCAGGAGTGTAAGAGATTTTGTTTTATTAATATCACATAACCCATCTAATGTGCTACATGTTTCAATATAATTTATAAGTAACGTAAATATACAATATAATAAACTTATTTAGAAAAAAAGCTATAATGAAAAATAAAATTACACTAGTTGTTTATTACCAACTACAATGAAGTGGTAACAAGTTATATTAATTATATATAATTTTTTAGTAATATTAAAAACAAAGAGAAATCAAAATAACGGTCACAGCCTGCTCCACGCGCGTCTACCATTGAAAAACATCTTATCATTGTAAGGTGCCTACCTAGGTACTTGCAATGTTTTTATAAGGCCGCGTATAAAACGTTCATGTAGTCCTGACTTAAAGGTATCAAAATTTCAATAGATTTTACTTCTCTAAGCAACTCTATGCTGTGTGATCCGTGTCCTAAATAATTAGATATAGATACATCTTACCACTCTATTTGTAAAATGATACTTGCACGATAATTGACGCATGCGCAAGTAATCTTACCTAAGAAAATGTGTTGATCTGAAAATATTGATGTAAGAGAATCGAAGTGAGACTTTTGATCGTATTGTTCATATTTACATAGTTAACTTTTACTGTGTAAAATGGCACTTCGTGCAATATCGTTCCTACGTACAAGTGGTGATATCGCAAAATGTTACGCGTAAGTGATTACTTGAATTCGTGTTTCTTATTCGACTTATTTTTGTTTTTATAAAACTAATTTTCAAGTATGGATTATGACTTTTTAATTTTACACAGTTGACCGTATCTTATAGTTACAAAAGTGCTAAGAATATTGTACAGAAAGACAGATTTGATTTGTAGATTACCCAAAAGATATTTTGCGGATACGTCTAAAATAGACAAGGCACTTTCCATACCGAATAAACCAGTGTCCAAAAGTATTGATGATATAGGAAAAATTATCGACGAAAACATAGAAAAAAGTGAAATTACTATATCAATGAACGAAGATGTTGGATTGGCATCTGGTGTCCCGGAAGAACACATAAAGACTCGTAAAGTTCGCATCTATTGCCCTGCAAAAAATGCCATGCAGTCAGGAACAAATAATATACATTTTTGGCAAATTGATTTTGATACACGCGAACGTTGGGAAAATCCCCTGATGGGATGGGTTTCGACGTGAGTGTAACGATGGATATATATCCTTTAAGTTTTGTTACTCTACTAATATCATGTTTTTATACTTAGAGGTGATCCTATGTCTAATGTCAAGGTACAGTTTTCGTCAGAGCAAGAAGCCGTTGCACACTGTGAAAAAATGGGATGGGATTATTATATTCAAAAACCGAATATTAGTAATCCTAAACCACGCTCTTACGGTACCAATTTTTCATGGAACAAGCGTACTAGAGTTTCAACTAAGTGAAGTGTTAAAAGTCAATAGATGAGAATAAGTATAGTTCTATATATAATATTTAACATGTATCATACAATAATACAACTATATATATATATATATATATATATATATATGACATGTATACATAGTTGTTTTCGCATGTACAGTTCCACATACGTAAATAAATGTTTATAAAAATACATTAGAAAAGAAAATTCAGAAATTTGAAAAAATTCCTTCGAAAGGAACATAACATTAACATGTTGGAATTAATTTTATCGATAAACTCCAGAATTTATTTTTTAGGAATATTTATATAATGTCATTCTTACATGGGTTAACATTCTTATTATTCATCTTTCGTTTATTATTATTAGCATTTTTATTATAACATCAGATTTGATTAGATTGTGTATTTTAAAATTCAATGATTGCTCATATCAGCTTATAGACTATATCGAGCATTGTTGCTATTTAGAAAATACATTGGACTAAATGTGGATTTAAAGATTAGAGAATAAGAACATTTTAGATGTAAAAACATTGATTAAGGGGTAGGTGGGGAACAAGTATGTGCACAAAGTACTGTCAATTAATTCATACAACAAATGTTGCAATGTAATAGTAATCTACTGAAAAATATGATTAAACAGAATTAATACATACATACATGGAAGAACAATGCCCGACTTTCTGTTCATAAATACATGTGATGAAACAATCAATCTTGCAGACTAACAAGGATTGTTAAACTATTTACAAGTTGAAGTTAAAGGAACGTTTCTCTGCTTTTTTCAATTTTTTTTCCATATTTTATGAATCAT